GGTATGGATCAAAGTTTCTATTATTTTTTACACATGAATATCCAATTGTTCCAGCACCATGTGTTGAAAAGACTCTTCTTTCTCCACAGAATTTCTTTTGCATCTTTGTCAGAATTCAGTTGCCCACGTGTGTGGTTCTATTTCTGGACGCTCTTCTGTTTTGTTGATATGTTTGTATGTCATTACATCAACACTATATTGTCTTGATTATTGTAGCTTTATAATTTTGACATCAGGTAGTTTTATCCCTTGTTCTTTTTCAAAGTTGTTGTGGCTAATCTAAGACCTTTACATTTTCAAATGCATTTTAGAATCAGTTCATCGGTTTCTACAAAAAGCCTGCTGGGATTCTGATTGGCATTGTTTTCAGTCTATAATCAATTTTGGGAGGAATTACATTTTAGGCGTACTGAGTCTTCTGTCCCTGGGTATCACTCCCCTTACTTAGGTCTTCATTAATTTGCTCAGCAGTATTTAGTACTTTTCAGTGTACAGGCTATACATAATCTTTTATTCAGTTTACTCTCAGTAGTTCATATTTTGATGCTATTATAAATGGGATTTAAAATTTTCAATTTTCGATTGCTTGTTGCCTGTATACAGAAATACAATTGATTTTTGTTTATTTATTTCTTATCCTAAGACATTGCTAAACTCACTAGTTTTAGTAGATTTTTTGTAGACTCCATTGGCTTTTCTATGTAGGTAATCATGTATTTACTCGTTGCTTTCATTTTTGGACACTTAATATAATTTTCTTGCCTTATTGCACCACGATGCTGAATAGAACTGGTGAGAGCAGATATCCCTGTCTTGTCCTTGATCTTAGGGGGCAAGCAGTCCAAATTTCACCGTTAAGTGTGGTGTTTATTTGCTTGAGGATAAGATACAGTTGGTTCAGACTCTCATACCATAGCAAGAGATGTTCATATCTTAAATCATTATGAAAAAAGAAATGTTGATAGGTATGCCAGATTTATTCCAGAAATGGCCTATCAGCAAGGCAAGGACTTGAGTTCTGAATGAGCACCGCGGGTTTCAATTCCTGCGCTGCTTCCTAGAATCTGCACAGCCCTGAACAAGCCATGTGCCTCCGGGGCCCATGGATGAAGCTGGGTGAGCCAACGCATGGGGAGGCTTAGCCATCTCGTCCCTTTACTTTGCCTGCCTTCTCTTCTCTTTTGGGATTGGTTTAAATGCTTGATTCTGTCCTCATTGTGGCGTACAGTATATATGGTATAGCACCGAATATAAAGTTTCCCTTTAACCTTCCTTTCAAATTATTCTATGACGTTTACTTTCCCCTGAATTCTTTCATAATAGCAGTTCACTTCTTGTGACTTGTTCTTTAACGTGGTTTAAGATTTTATTTCCAAGGAAAGGCCAACCTTTCCTTTGATTTTGATTGAGGAAAGATTAGCTACACAAGTCTTTAGAAATTAAAGCGAGTCAACAAAACACAAACATGAAGGGAGTATAGAAGCTTCCCTGAACTCAAAGGTTCCTGTCCCAGAACCTCTAAAGTTGGTAGGGCGCTTACTGCTCAGCCTTGAAGGAGGTATCCTTGAAGAAAAGAAAACCAACTACAGTAGTTAAGTGGAGAGAGGAACAGCCAGCTGGAGACACACCAATGAAACAGAGGCAGCTCTTGGCTGGAGGAAGAAAGCAGTCTGACCTCAGTGTGCTGTGCAGAGGTCTCCCCTGAACTGGGCAGAGCCAGGCTTGGTTCTTAAGTCTTCTTTGTTAGTCGGATGTCAGCATGAAGTCAGGGTCAAAAAGGAAACTTACAAAATGGATTGGGTGTTTTAATAAAAAAGATGATCTGCTTAGATAAACTACCAGAAAGAAGCTGCCGAGGCCTGGGCGTAGCGGGAGAGGGCGAGATGCTATGTGATCTGACGTTGGCACCTAGGAGTGGCCATGACACCGAGCCTCCGTCTTCATTGTACCAGAACTAGGTGTCCTTGGGCTCTGGTCGCAAAAGGCATCCAGTGATTGGGATGCAGGTTTTCCAGGGAGGGAGACACAAGGTTGAAGTCAGAGCTGGTGTTTCAGCGAGTTTTCCTGTGTCTGATTTGTGAGATGGAGGTCAGCAGTTCAGGCGCAGAGATGTCTAGAGAACAGGGTACCTGATTTTTTCCCTCAGCCTTCTTGCGGGAAGGAACCTCAGCTTGCTTTGAGAGCTGAGTGTTTGTACTGTGCCCGTGCTTAAGTTGATGTCTAAAGGTAAATTTTAATGCAAGTGTTTATTTAGCCCAAGAAATAAATGATAAGGTGATCCACAGTGAGATGGAATTTTCAGGGTCTCCTGTGAAGGTGTGTTAAGCATGCTCCATGTGTGGAGTTGCAGCTGTGCCAGCTTTGATGGTGATTTTATGTGAAAAACAAAACAAACAAAAAATCTAGCCTGTTCTAGATTTCTTTGTGATAATAAAATAATTCCATAAAATTGACTTTCCAAGTGTTTCCCTGTGGGTAGGAATTTTCTCCTGAGAGTGCTATTATGCAAAGCCGGATTCCCTTTTTGGTAAAAATGCTCTGGAAGGTAATGGGACAAGGGTCAAATGGACCCATAGAATTCACCCGTGGATTATTTCAATTGTTTCCTTTCCCAGAAAGGCTGCTTGCTGAGTTTTTCTTCCAAAAACAGGTGGATTTATTTAGGAAGTAACAGATGTAACCAAAATACCAAGAAGATTCTAATTAAGGGGAGAGTTTCTAAGCTCAACACATCCCCATCTGGATACTCTTGTCATGGGGGCCATCCTGTGAAGTGTGGGGTGTTTTGCGGCATCTGTGGTCTCTACCAACCAGATGCCAATAGCACACACTCCCTTTCCACCCCTCAGTGGTGACAACCCAAGATGTCTCCACTCTGCCACTTGTCCTCTAGGATCAAAATCTCCTGGTATTGAGAACCAGTGGTTTAAGAGGACTGTCTGTTCATGCACAAATGTTTCTCTAAGAAAATGTTACGAGGAATGTTATCAGCTCAATACATTTATAAGTTTTTCTTAGAGATTAGAATACAAAACACAACAGATGCCCTCCATTTCTGGATGTGGTGTTTCTGATATGCTCCTATTTTCATATCGTTGCTTTTGTTCATAACAATCTTAGGAGGTGCTGTCAGCTTCTTGGTGCGAGGGCCAGAGTCACAGTGGGTGCCAAGGTGACCCCATGGCCCACAAGGTCCTGGCGAGCGTCAAGGTGAGAGGGCAGTACAGGCACTTGAGGCTTGTCCAGTAAGGGATTCCAAGGTGGGTTCTACCTCTCAAATCATATAGATGTTTCACCTTAGAATCCTTCCTTCACCTGGCCTTCAAGTGCCACTTTTCCTTATTCCTAGAAGGCCAAGAGAAGCACGTGTACTGTAACCCAGCCCTCTTCGTTTGCCAGAAACAACTCTTAGATGGAAACAAAAGGATAACGGATCTTTGTTACTTGCACCCTGACCACTCCACTTAAGCCAGCATGTGCAGCACTTACAGGTCTGCTCCATGCCCTGATGTGCTTGACCTGTCTGCACAACTCAAAACCCTTAAAAAAAAAAAAAAGTAGGCCTGAGGTGGGGTCAGGGACCTGCAGGACATGTGTGCCTTGTGGGAAGAGAAAATGTTAACATGGTTCTTTGTAAGTGGCCCCAAACTGTCTTCTGAAGCAGAAGATACACAGCATGACTCCGATACGTCGTCCATCATCTGTGCACTCGGGTAAGCTGCACAAACGGGTGGATTGAGAACAGATACAGTTTCAAAATTGTGTTGTTTTAGCAGACTTGTTCCCTTTTTCCAAGTATTTTTTTCCTTTTTTAAATTGAAGTATGGTTGATTTGCAATACTAGTTTCAGGTGTACAGCAAAGTGATTCAGTTACACATATTCTTTTTCAGATTATTTTCCATTATAGGTTATTACAAGATATTGAATATAGTTTCCTGTGCCCTATAGTAGGTCCTTGTTGTTTATCTATTTTATACAGAATAGTGTGTATCTGTTAATACCAGACTCCTAATTTATCCCCTCTTCCCCTTTGGTAACCATAAATTTGTTTTCTATGTCTGTGACTGTTTCTGTTTTGTAAATAAGTTCATTTCTATCATCTTTTTAAAGATTTGTCTTTCTCTGACCCTGCTTAGAATGATAATCTCTAGGTCCATCCATGTTGCTGCAAATGCCATTATTTCATTCTTTTTTATGGTTGAGTAGTATTCCATTGTGTATATATACCACATCTTTATCCAGTCATCTGTCATTGGACACTTAGGTTGCTTCCATGTCTTGGCTATTGTAAATAGTGCTGCTGTGAATGTTGGGGTGGTATATCTTTATGAATTAGAGTTTCTTCTGGATAAATGCCCAGGAGTGGGATTGCTGGATCATATGGTAACTGTTTTTTTTAGGGAAACATCCATATTGTTCTCCATAGTGGCTGTGCAAATTTATATTCCCACCAAGTGTAGGTGAGTTCCCTTTTCTCCACACCCTCTTTATTACTTGTAGACTTTTTGATGATGGCCATTCTGACTGGTGTGAGGTGATACCTCGTAGTTTTGATTTGCATTTCTCTAATAATTAGTGATGTTGAGCATCTTTTCATGTGTCTCTTGGCCATCTAATCAGAAATGTCTGTTTAGGTCTTCTTCCCAGTTTTTGATTGAGTTGTTTTTTTGTTGATGTTATTATTGAGTTGTATGAATTGTTTGTATATTTTGTAAATTAAGCCCTTGTCAGTCTCATCGTTCACAAATGTTTTCTCCTATTCCACAGGTTGTCTTTTTGTTTTGTTCATGGTTTCCTTTGCTGTGCAAAAGCCTGTAAGTTTGGGTCTCATTTGTTTATTTTTGCTTTTATTTCCTTTGCCTTGGGAGGCTGAGCTAAGAAAACATTGCTATGATTTATGTCAGAGAATGTTTTGTCTATGTTCTCTTCTAGGAGCCTGAAGAATTTTAATCACTGTATGTTGAAATACATAGTATTTTAAAGAAGTTCTTGAACAAGATGGTAGATAGTCAGATTTATTTTAATTTTTCAATCTGCAAAAAAAAAACCCAAACAAAAAACCAAACTATACTCATATATATACAGTGTCAACATTTTCAGAGCACTTATATTAGGAAACATTGTGTTTCTCCTCAACCATATGACAATACTGTATATGCCACAGTAAAATTTACAAAACAATCGCGTCAGCAGTCACACAAACATCATGATTTTCATGTCAAAACACAAGAAAAAATAGACATCTTCCCGGCACTTTGTCTGCAGCCCTGCAGAGCAGGTTCCCACGTGTGCTGTTAGAAACTTCAGCTTTTAAAACCTACCAGTGGCTGTTGAGAAGTCATATCCTTTCCAGATCCAAACTTAAATAATGAGAAATCTGCCCTTTTCAAACAACAACCAATGATTTGTTAATGGGTAGTGAAGTTTACCCACAAAAGATGTGTAAAAAATTGCATGAAAGTAAAAATAAATAAAGCTGTTGTAAAGCAGTCTTGTTTACACTATAGTTCAGAACGGAACACTTAAACATAAAACCGTCATTAAAGTTTTATAAAGTAATTATTTATATTCAAATTATAGCTGTTCAACAAATCTAATGAAAACAAACTGATTTGGTAAAGGTTCAAAGCCATTCACGCTCCAGCAGGGTCATTTCACAAGTATGCACCCCAGTTGCGATGGGTGGGCAGTAGTGATGACATATCGCTGTTCTGACATAAGGCACTAGATCTGAATATGCCATACACTCGCCTTATGTCATATTACCTGTTAGGTACCAGTGACTTATTTAAAATGAAAAATAATAGAAATTCAGGACAGTGCACTTTAATGACTTACAGCATTTGAACTCTTTCAGACAGCGGTCTGAAAACAGTCTTTTAATGCTAGGTTGAATCTTCAGACGCACAAGATCTTTCTTTTTTATGTTTAGTTTCAACATCACTGGAAAAAGTACCCATCACTAAACCCTGATCCACATGCTCAGCCATTTTACTCTGTTCTCTCGCGGTCGGTGTTCATGAAGCAAAGCGCGACCAGCATCTGTGTTCAAGTTCTCCTGCAGGGCCCCTCCACTCACGGCCGTCATTCGCTTTCCGTCTCCTTCTGTTTGGCACCTGTCAGGACACGGAAAACGGGAAGTTTGAAAGTAACACAAAAACACGCTGCAGCTGTGCAGGTCCCACAGGAGTGCACTGGTGGCTCCCCACCCCGTGGCTTCTGCCTGTCCCTGCAGTGCCTTAGGAGAAAGTCCCAGAGGCTGCAGGGGCCTGAGATGTGGTCAGTGAGCAGGTGGGTGCCGGGCTGCCCAACCCCACCTACCATCACTGCCACACACTTTTAACCCCTGTTACATGTAATTCTAAACACACAGGGTTTAATTTGGAAAAGAGGGTTCTGTTAAAAATTTTTCAAAGAAATATGTATTTAAGTTTTAGTGAAGGTGCAGAGTATTTCTGTTGAACATACTTATAAACATGTAAAGGAAAGCACTGTAACAAGTTTAAGGAAAACTGCACATAGCACCTACTCTCATCTGGCCCAGATACTTCAATGTGGGTTGAGAGGGAAGCTACCATTTTTTTTATTACAGTAGTTTCTCTGTCTTTTCATCAGAAACTAGAAGACACTTTTATAGACTGTTAATCTCTTTGAAAGTTAAGGGGCTAAAAAAATTGTAGCTACTGCCATCAGACTGCTTATTCATTGGCTGCATGTGTAGACACTTAGGCTCGTTTGGAGTCTTGAGTTAAGTTTGACAATGAACTACTGCTAAAACTTTGAAAAAGAGAAAATCTTACTATATTGAATCAGTGTGCATTATCTGGTGAAAAAGAACCATTGGTATCTTTTATCCACATAACAGTGAATGGCTTTAAAAAGGGTCTCTTACTGATTATTCTATAAACGTCCACCCAGCAGTGCTCATCCTGGGTGTGCAAATTCTGGTGCCTAAACAGTGTTCACATATGGTTTTGGTTTCAGCTCAAAGTACCTTTGGAGGGACAGTGGCCTCTATCAGGCTGTTCATTCTGTCACTGAAGGAATGGAGGCTGAGTGAGGCTGAGCAGCTGGCTGGCCCCTCTCAGCTCTTAGGGGATAGTGGGATTGGGCTAACAGGGCTGGACCTCTAGTTTGTTGCTAATATCACACCATCCTCCTTGTATGCAAGCATCTGATCTGACGGCTGCAAGCGGGTTCTGCTCTAGATGTTCACTAGTAAATCCAGTTATTAGGAACACTGAGCATTTTCCTAAATAAATAGCATTATGCACACTGTATCACAAAGAATTCTAATTCAACTACCCCCTTTTTATTTTAAAGTACAGCCAGTTATAATGTGTCAATTTCTGGTGTACAGCACAATGTCCCAGTCATGCATATATATACATATATTCTTTTTCATTAAAGGTTATTACAAGATATTGAATATAGTTGCCCATGCTATACAGAAAAACCTTTTTAAAAAAACCTATTTTGATATATAGTGACTAACATTTGCAAATCTCAAACTCCTAAATTCATCTCTTCCCACCCCCTTTCCCTGGTAACCACGATTGTTTACTATGTCTGCAAGTCTGTTTCTGTTTTGCAGATGAGTTCATAGTCTTTTCCCTCTCTTTTTAAGATTCCACATATGAGTGATAAATATTTTTTTCTCTTTCTGGGTTACTTCACTTAGAATGATGATCTCTAGGTCTATCTGTGTTGCTACAAATGGCATTATTTTATTCTTTTTATGGCAGAGTAGTATTCCATTTTAGAAATATACCACAACTTCTTTATCCAGTCATTTGTCGATGGACATTTAGGTTGCTTCCATGTCTTGACTACTGTAAACAGTGCTGCTATGAACATTAGAATGCAAGTATCTTTTCTCATTAGAGTTCCCTCCAGATATGTACCTAGAAGTGGGATTGCTGGATCATATGGTAAGTCTATTTTTAGTTTTTTTAGGAATCTCCGTACTGTTTTCCATAATGGTGGCACCAAACTACATTCCCACCAATAGTGTAGGAGGGTTCCCTTTTCTCCACACCCTCTTTAGCATTTATTGTTCAGAGTTTTGAATCATGGCCATTCTGACTGGTGTGAGATGATATCTCATTGTAGTTTTGATTTGTATTTCTCTGATAGTGATATTGAGCATTTTTTCATGTGCCTATTGGCCATCTGTATGTCCTCCTTAGAGAACTGCTTGCTTAGGTCTTCTGCCTATTTTTGGATTGGGTTGTTTGTTTTTTTGTTATTAAATTGTATGAGCTGTTTATATATTCTGAAAATTAAACCTTTGTCAGTCGCATCATTTGCAAATATTTTCTCCCATTCTGTAGGTAGTTGTCTTGTTCTGCTTATGGTTTCCTTTACTGTGCAAAAGCTTGTAAGTTTAATTAGATCCCATTTGTTTACTTTTGCTTTTATTTCTATTGCCTGGGTAGACTGCCCTAGGGGAACATTGCTGAGATTTATGTCAGAGAATGTTCTATGTTTTCTTCTAGGAGGTTTATTGTGTCTTGTCTTATATTCAAGTCTTTAAGCAACTGTCCCTATCTTTATAACATTATTTCTATGATAACATACATTTCAAATCCAGCTGTGGAACAGGTTTCCTCCCTGCATTTTCACTAATGCTGACTTGCATTAATGACTTAGAATTTTTGAAATATCAAATCTGGATGGAAATTTAAACTCATCCAGATGAACATTCTCATTCTTATGGCTGTGACACCAAGGCATAGAGAGGATAAAGAATTGTTTACCCTGAATTTGCAATGCACAAAGAATCTCGGCCACAGGGACAGAAGAGAGCTGATATTTGGCCTGACTCCACTGGGCGAGCTGTGTGCCTTGGCCCAGGGCCAGCCGACTGGAAAAGGGGGTGTCCTTCTGAAGGTGCCAAGTTATGTGCCTGTGGGGATAAGCCTGGAGATGGTTCCTTGTCCTAAGGTGCACAGAGGAGCCATATGGTTGCACATTGATCCTTGGACAACACAGGGTTAGGGCGCTGCATACAGTGTATAGTTGGCCCTCTATGGCCTGATTCCTCTCCGTATCCGAGGTCCCACAGCTGTGGATTCAACCATGGACCGTGTAGTACTGCAGTGTTTACTACTGAAAAAAGTCTGCGTATAAGTGGAGCCGTGTTGTTCAAGGGTTAAGTGTCTATAATGTAACCACACTTCCTGCACTGGTCCTGCTTCCGTGCTCCATGTCTGGCTGTGAGGCTCGTCAGGGTCAAATACAGCTGCATGTTCACTGTCAATGCAGTCCAGCAGATGAACAGAGTGCAATCTACTGATTCTCCTACTCAAAGATATCTGGGTTACTTCTAGTTTTAGTTTATTACAAGTAATGCTATGAACAAGCTCACATTCTTTTTGTCATTTGATCACTTCATGATTGTAGAGATTATCATGAGCCGTGAAAAAAAATGAAATCCTGCCATTTTCAACAACACGGATGGACTTTGAGGATATTATTGCTAATAAATAAAAGAAGTTAGACAGAGAAAAGCTAAGTATCATATGATTTTGTTCATATATGGAATCTAAAAAAACCCCACACCCAAAACCAGTGAACAAACAAAACAACACACAGATACAGAGATCAGGTTACTAGATACCAGAGGGGAAGGGGGCTGGGGATGGGTGAAGTGAGTGAAGGGGTCAACTGTATGGTGACGGATGGTGGCGAGCCCTGTGGTGGTCACTGTGTAGTGCATACACATGCTGAGCTGCAATGCTGTACCCCTGAAACTTACAATAATTAAAAAAAGATTATCATGAGTTTCAGGGTCTAACATCTGAAGTTTGAAAATGATTGCAGCAAACACCATCTCTAGAGTTTCTGATCAGTAGACGTGGGCTTCTAACCATTTCCAGGGCTTGCTGAGTCCCCGCTCGGCTGGAACCACACCCAGTGCTCAGTGCTGCCTGCTTCTCGCTGGCGGGGGGATTCCTTCAGGGCGGGTATCTTCAGTTACAGACCAGCTGTGAAAACCAGTCTTAGCTAATTTGACTGATTTCTGAACTAAAGAAAAATCAATACCCTCGTAAGTGTACACTTTAATGTTTACCTTCTAAGAGTTCAAAGTGCACATGAGTTAGTCTCCCATCTTGGCCTTGATCTCTCGGGCCCAATCTGGGTTGTTTGTACTTAGTGCTGGGGGGGGGAGGGCTGGTGGTTTTAGGACCCCTTCAGCCATTACACTAGTAAACACGTGACACAAGGAAAACCAACTCCTCCTTTCTAAAGCCCCTCCTCCACCTTCACACGCTCCTTGACTGTGACTTGAGGGTTTGCTTAGAGTGAATCTGGCAGAAAATGAGTTCAGTCACCAGCGTTGTCTGGCAGTGAATATAGCTTCCATACACTTCTGTTGGAAAAAAGTTTGTTTAGGGCATTTGATTTATACACTCAAAACACTAGTAAGCTTTTTTTTTTTTGGATAGATGGTTTCAATAAAAAGACCCCAAAGAATCTCCCTCCTGTTTTCCGGTTAGTAGTTCTAAAAATACAGCAAAACTGAGGAGATCCTAACTCTTCTTCTTTTTTTTTTTTGGAGGGGGATGGGGGAGGAAAGTAATTAGGTATTTATTATTTATTTCTAGAGGAGGGACCGGGGATCGGACCCATGACTCTCAAGCATGCTAAGCATGCACTCTACCACTGACCTATATCCTCCCTGGCAGGAGCTCTTAACTTTTTAACGGGAAAGGTTATGAGCACGGCGGTGAATCCTCGATAATTCAGGCACTTCTGGGCGTCGAGAGGATGCCAAGTCAGAATACTTTGTGTAAACTTTTCTCCCTCAAGCAGAACAGTAAAACTTCAAAACCACAGAGAAAATGAAAATGGTTTACAAAGTAATGCACAGAAAGCTGTGGCTGCAGCAGGGCGGGGGGAAGCTGGGCTTGATGCCCCTGCTTTTCCACCCCCCACCCCCATCCACGTACAGGAAAGGCCAGACACTGGCATCGGTACCTGCAGGTGTGAGTATCAGGGCTTGCAGAATGTCTGACAGGGAAATAATACCCACGATGCTATCTGCTTCATTTACTACCACCAGCCGATGGACCTGCAGCAAGAGAAAAGGAGGCCACGTGTGGAAGCTTAAATGAATGGTTTTAAAGTGCACATTAGGAAAAAATCTTTCATGTACTATACAATGAATAGATCCCACAAACGAGAGGAAGGAACAGCGCACAGAACCATGCAGCAGTCTTGGCTCTGTTAAAATGCAACGCTGGTTTGCTTAACTACTTTTAAGAAAAATCAGCCAGCTAGGTCCTGCTGAGTTTTCAAATTTCAAAATTATTAATATGATAGCTACAACTCAAAACATGAAGTATAACAGTAGCTACTTTATGTAACTATAATATTCTCTTAAGTGGTTTTTGATTTTTTAAAGTTATATCTCAGTTTCTAATAATTATCTGTTAACTGTGTCACATGGGAGAGAAGTCCAAATGAGCAATGAAAGTAACAGGTCACTGCTCGTAGGTTTTTAATTTTTTCTCTATGAAGTTCATATATTAAGAATAACATTCAGAGGATAATGAACTATAATAAAACAAAATAGATTATATTCATGTCTTACCTTCTACTTGAAAATCTTTTATAAATGAGTGGGTAAGTTCTGAGGTATTACTACAACAAAGCATCCTTAAAACAGGAAGGAAGTGAGAAAGCATCGTGCTCCTCTGACTGAAAGGCTTTAGAATTTAGGCCTAAAGCAACCACATGCCAGTCGGTTACCCCGGAGATCCTCCTCTCCTTACTGAACAGTTAAGCCCCCCAGTGGTACAGAACAAGGGGCACAGAAAGGAGACGGAAGGAAGGGGAAACTGCTTTTATATTTTTGTCTCTGAGACTGTGTTGGTGCCGCTTCTGACATCATAACTTGCTTTTAGGTTCATAAAGAAATCAATGTCATCTTTCTCATGCCAATCAACCTAAACGTCTTTTAAAAGCTTCTCTAGAAAAACGCAGGCTCTTCAGTAACCCTGTGCTATCACACAGTTATCTATTAACTATAAGTATACGTTGATGATTTACATCCAGAGCCAGAGACTGCTTTATATTCTATACCAGACACATTTTACTCCTGACATTCAATAGTGATAATTAACCACCTATGAAGCATTAAAGGTCAGGGGGAGCTGTTTCACTCTGAAGTAGTTCTGCCAGACAGAAATGACTACCCAAAATATTTTCTTGCCCTTGAAGTTTAGTTCCCTGTCTAAAAGTTAGTGGTCATATAAATAAACCAAATCATCACTGATACCTTTCTCCTAACAAAATATGCTAAAGCTAAAAACTGGCCTTTGTTCCCCATTAAGGAGTCAGCTGGTGAAAGAAATTATTTTAATGAGGAGAAAGGTCGCAATGGACAACTTGAGAAAACTTTAAAGACCCCTTCATTCTCCTCAGCAACCTTGCTCACACTACAGTGGATCGGTGATGCTCCCAGATGAGCCTAACACGAGCCAGCCGCTTCCTTTGCCTGCCAGTCACACACGCCCGCGGGGGCCTTGGGAACGCGGAGCAGTGCTGGTCCCTCCACACTCCCAGGCCACTGGGCCCAGCCGTGCTAACGCTGTGGCGCGAGTCTGTCTAGCCTCTTTTCTATGCATGTGCACGTGTGTTAACACTAAGAATCATACTACGTATAGTATTGGCTTTTTCTCTTAGCAATATATTGTTTTTCCGTATCAACAGTATTCTTAAACATGATTTTTAATTGTTATCAAGGATTCCATTAGATGGATGTCCACTGTCCTTGTAATTAGGGAGGGATGCCTTTCCTATTTCTGCTGTGATCTTCCAAAGGCATATAATTCTAAGGACAATAAAAAGTTTAGATGTATTCCTAAGTCAGCTAAAACCCGCTGGAAAACTAGTGATGGATGTTAAATTTAAGTAGAAAAAGGAAAGACTTCGTGTTGAGAATCTAGTGAAACAGGTAAAAACACGGCTGCTGAAGTGAGTCAGCCCGGGAGAGGACGGAGCAGGGCAGATCTCTTCGACACACGTGATGGGAGCAGGGCCGGCGGGCTTCTGCCGCGATGGCGCCTGAAAGGGGGCTCTGTGCGCTGTAGAACAAACCACTTGACAGGTAACTTCCAGAAAGCGGGCTAAGGTTGCCTGTGATTAGCCTAAAAATAACCAGGTGCTTTTCTTCTTGGACTGTACTGTTGCATTTATAATAAAAAGTATCAAAGCAGACTCACTATGAATTGATTTCACCTAATTAGAGGTTGTTCCAGAAGGAATGCAATTGCATCCTTCAGTCCTAAAGTGATAAGGAGTGACAGAAAGGGGTAGGAATGTTGTCCTCTTTAACAAGAAAGGAGAGAAATTATTTGGGGCATGGCTGTACTGAATTAAGATACACTATAAAATGATCTCACTCATCTTTATGCAAAGCATGCAAAAAACATCCTACAGGCAGTAAAGTACAGGGGCCACAAGCGCTGAGGGGTCAGGAGAGGAACGGACCATTTACTGCTTATCTAAATACTGGTGGGAAGAGAGACAATTGCTTTAACTTAAATCAATAAAATGTACTGTGATCTTTTTTATCATTCACTTTGTTAAAACCAAATAATGACACATTTTTAGCTTTAAATTCATTCATACTCTAATGAAACAAAGTTCTGTTTTCTCGGGTATGTTTTAAAACCATGAAAGTTTCTTACCAGTTTATTTGATTCAACTATAATAGCAAGACTTACAAGTTCACTTCAGTGAACATTAACAGATGACCTACTATGTGCCAAGGAACGTGCTGGGTTCTGGGGCAGGGAAGCCATGTCATTTGACTGAACGGGAAGATGGCTTCCGGGCCGCTCCCATGGCTCAGTCCCTGGGGTACTCTTTACTAGCTAGTACTTGTGGCAGCTGGGCTCAGGGGGACAGGAGGACGGAGGGACGGGTGCAGCCAGCTCACCTCAGCTCTCACTATTCTGTCCACGATGGTCTCCAGTATCTCCAGCTTACTGCACTTCACAACACCTTCGAAATACTGTGACCGGTGCTGCAGGGCCTGCGTCACTGTGATGTCTAGGTTGTTATATGTCTTTTCAGCAGCGAGGTTCTGTAATAAAGTACCAGAGAATTATGTCCTTCATTTCAATTCACATTAATGACCCGAATTAGTTCAGAGCAACCTGATTTTTAAAAAGGTTAATGTTTATCTTAATTTAGTATCACCACACGCGCTCATGATGTGCCATGAGTACTACTGTTTCATCGTCTTATCAATAATTTAAAGCTTACAAGGTGCATGTTAGTCATGAAGAACCATGTTACATTCTGACTGTATGTCCTGCGGAGGATTCCCCCATCCCTACCCTGCTGGGTTCTGCTCCCTGAGTGAATAAAGTCTTACAAG